GCTTCACTACCACCGACAACCTCCCACAAGTCTTGACCTTGAAGATAAGACTCTATACACATTGCCCACGTGTTATAGTTTTGGTTGTTGAGCTTCTTGATTCCTCCAACAACTTGAAGATCACCCATCGTATCGGCAAAACTTTGACTACACCGAACAAGCTTGAGTGACTACCGTGCAGAGTAATACACCACTCTCGACACAAAGAAGCTCCCTCTCAAGGTTTGTGATGACCCCAGCAATAATCTCAAGAAATTTTTTCTGATGTGGAAGATCAGTCAAAACTGCAACCACAAAGCATACTCGGAATTTCAAGAGACTTTACAACCAATGCTCTACCAAGAACGATCCCTGACCGACTTGGCTCTAGATACCAATTGTTGAATAAGAAGAGTATCCAAAATAACTCTAATGATCCCAAGAAGAAGAAAATAGAGCACACTCTTAAAGAAAACTCACAAAACAAACTAATTAGCAAAGCTTTTCTTATTTAGCTCTAGGCTTTGTTTTTCCTTGGATGATATACAATGCTTGGGGACTTGGGTATTTATAGCAAACCAAATGAAAGCTACACCACACACTTACTTCACCTACAACATCCACCTACTTCACCTACAACCTCCACTTACTTCACCAACCTCACACACTTACTTCACCTACAACATCCACCTACTTCACCTACAACCTCCACTTACTTCACCAACCTCACACACTTACTTCACCTACAAATGACATTGATTCTCAACAGGAACAGTGGCAGGTCAGCTTGGGGAAATATATTTTCCGCGACGAACTCAGGGGATGGTACATACGAATCACGAGCCACAGCTGCCCAGTTGTTGACGAAATTGATTATGGTGGATGCATCAACTATCTTGTGTGACATACCAATGCCAAGTGCCATTCCACCGCAGTCAAAGAAGCTCACTTGAACATCCACGATCACACTGACATCCGGATCCTCATTCCACGCCACATCTTTGGAGATTAATAACGCCAGGTCCTCGTCTTTAGGGTTCTCAAGAATGTCAGAGAGCTTGAAGTTTCTGATTCGCGTTTTGACAAATGCGACTCCTTCATCGTTGCAGTCAATGGAGAATCTGTCTCCGATCCTGCCGGCAAAAGGGTAGTATTTGGACAGTGTTTCGGATAGTGATTTCTTGAGCTGATTGGATTTATCCTCGACAGACAGATAATCGGAGGCTTCCTTGGGGTAGAAGTAAACGACCGGAACATAAGAGCGATGGTTAACCTGATCGAGGAGCGAGAGTATGTGTGTTCGAAGATGTGGTGGGGTTGGAGTGGAAGGTTTGATGATTTCTCTGGATATGTTTTCAACTTCCATAGCCGCCATAACTGTATATTTGTGAGCTTTTTAAGTTAATTTGTATGTAGCAGATAACAGAAATGTACTTTATAGGATGAAAAACCCAATGATTTCATACGCCCCTGGTCAAATTTGGTAGTCTACAATCGCTGGCATAAATAACATTATTGTCCTCCATTCCTTTTCAAAACCTGTCTACATAAGTTCGACAAGGGCTGAGAAGAAAATAGGGTCCCAAGATGTCGACTACTATAAGAAAGGGTTAAAGGGTTAAAGGGTTTTTATAACAAATGATCCCTGAAAAAGACTCCAATTATGATAGTCCCTGAAATTGAAAATCGATTAATGTAGTCTTTGAATTTTAACCCCGTGAATCAATGTGGGTTTTCCATTAGTGTTCTGTCCAAATTAACTCTAAAAAGGGTCAGACAACCAATTTTTCATGATAAAATGACCAAAATAACCCTGTTACTTATAATTTGACTTACTACCTCTCTTTTCCTTTCTCCATCTTCACTTTTCTCTCCATTTTTTTCATGGATTCGGATATTGTAAATCAATTGCCCTTTTTCATTGCTTAAACTTGGGCATCTGACTTGCCCTTTGTCTCCTTCTTTTGCTGGTAACTTTAACACCTTTTTCATCTTCTTCACTGTCAACAATTTGACTTGCCCTCTGTCTCCTCCTTTTGCTGGTAACTTCAACACCTTCTTCATATTCTTCATTGTCAACAATGCTACCAAGGTCACCGAACAAAGCTTCATCATAGAAAATCTCCTCTATCAACCCTATCTATTCAGGCTCTTCTTCAATGGGGTTGTCAAAATTTTCTACAAACATGTTATCATCATCTTCATAAAGTTGTTCTTCAAATTGCGTTATTGGTATATCATCTTCTTCCTCTTGCTCATAATCACTGTCAATAAGTTCCTTGTCAGTACCTTCCTCTTCCTCCTCATTATCATCATCTTCATTCACACCCCCTGCACTGCTTTCATCTTCATTCCCACCACTATTACAGGTTGCAGCTTCACCCTCATGCCCTTGCTGTCCAATCCCAAAATCCCCAAACTCATCATCCCAATTCAAACTATGTGTTATCTGCAACTCTTCATCTAAGTTCACAACCACATCAAATAATTCGTTTCTTGTCATTATTTGCTTGTCAACTTGAGTAGAAGATTGAACCTCATATATTTCCCTCTTCCAATTGTCACTTGAACGTCAGACCATGTACAAATCAGGCAAGTCTTCAATCAAATTCATCACATCTGCATCGCATTTCATCTCTTCAAAGGTCCCATCAGGAAGCTTCTTATACTGTGCTAACTCTTCCTCATATTTTAGGTCCTTTGCAATATTGTGACATTCTACCAATGATTGCATGTCACCATCAACCCAATTGAGAAATATAACCTCACCCCCTGTGTATACTTCCTTGCGTCATTTTTTAATCAACTGACCTCCATGGTGAATTTTATAAGTGAAAAAGCCAGGATTAGCTACAAGACATACAAATTCAAGTCAAAAGTATGTTACACTTAGAATGAATAGGTGACATGCATCAAAATCTACTATGTTTCATTCCTTGTATTTATGCAACAAAAAATTCTTCTCCTATAATTAATCATGTGCAATTCTTTCTTAGTAGTTCTCAAAACTACATTTTAAGCCAAGAGTTAATCAAATGTGGTAGTTAAATGTAAAGAGAGAGAGAAGACACTTACATATTAATATTGAACTAATATTAAAGCATTACAACTAGAATATTTTCAAGTTAAATCATCACTTTATTTAACCTAGAAGAGAGAGAAGCCAATAAATTAGGAAGAGGAAATTAAGAGCATGGTATTGTCAAATCTATGAAAAAAGGATATGGATACTCTAAGTTTGAGAGGAATGTGAAGAACATGCTAATTAGTCATTCCCCATCAACTTAATTAAGTTCCTTCAATTTTATTATCATAAATTGTTTGCATAATTAATTTATTGGGTGTGGCTAGTAATGGAAGGAATCATGTTGTTCCTGATTGGAGGACTAGCAAGGTGTCCAAGGTGCAACAAATGAGGTGATAGGTAGAGGTTTGAGAAACTATGGGGAAGGAAGCAGGAGAAACTAGTTCAAGAAAGAGAGAGCTCGATTCTATTCAAACCCTACACCTAAGTGAATGCCACAACAACCAACAACCAAACCAATACCATTAAATAATGGAAGAATTTAACACAAAGTGACAAACATATACATTGGGACAGCAGAAAAGTCTAAACCCACTTCAAACCCTCAAACACCGACATTACAAAACAATCCACTGACAAAATTCACAAGAAAACAACACCCACTTATCAAACCGAACAAAAAACCATATTGGGAGCACTAAAAGTGCAAACAAACTCAAAAACTAAAGGAGATTCGATTTACTCACCATATTGTAAAGGCTTTCCATTTTTTTGATATATTTATGGCATCACAATCAACCTAAATCACCATCGCAAATAACCAAACTCGAATTATTCCTGACAATCCTCTAATTTAGTCGAATCTAACAGGTTTCATTGAATCTCATGTAAAAAATCCCCAATATTTTTTCAAACCCTAAGTCTTACAGTAGAAAAAAATTCGCAGAAGGAGAAGGAATGAGGAAGAGTGAGGAAAAGTAAGGGATTTGGTGGGACAAGTGAAATAGTGGGAAGGGAGGAATAGGATTAGTAGGGTATTATTGTCATTTATCATGAAAATTTGTCACGTGTTCTTTTTTAATGTTGATTTGGACGGAAAACTAATGGAAAGACGACATTGATTTGCGGGGTTAAAATTCAAGGACTACATTGATCAATTTTCAATTTCAAAGACCATCATGATTGATGAGGTCAATTTCAAGAACCATCATAATTGATGATATCAATTTCAAAGATCATTTGTAATAAGGATCTTATAAGAAATTGTCAAGATGCACTTTGACCATGTGCCACACGGGAGGTTGAAACAAAATTACAGAAATAAAAAGACCATAACTACCCACCAAATGCATAGTAACTGTTTTTGTATATTTACTTTTTGGCAAACACTGTTTTTGTATATTTTTCAGATGTACATGACACATTTCTCACGATTTTTCATTCTGATAATAGAAACGGGGATTAGTTGTGAGGCCAAAAAGACATCGAACTTCAATGATGTGGCTCATCTGTTTTTTAAGTTGCACCACATAAATCGTCCTTGCAAAATATTAGTCAAAACAGAAAAATTTGAGACATTTAATTGAGTTCAAAGAAACTCATGAACACTGTGGTCTAAGAAACGTTGAAATTTCATCATGACAATCAAATGGGCAAATTGTTTCGGATTAAATTGAATTTTTACAAGGATAATCTGTGGATCGAGACTTGCAATATAAACAATTTAAATTGTTGAAGTTCGATGTGAGGTGGGCCCATAACTATCCCTATTTTTTCCAAAGTGCAATCAGTTTTCCAACTGCTTTTGTAAAAGGTTACCAGGCGAGCTAAGGAATTTTTTTCAATACAATCGTTATTGGAGGATGAAGAATGAACTTAAGACCTCGGATGTAAAAGGTAAGTTATTCTTAACCAAGTGCAAAACTCTCACAAACTTAAAGCAATTTAAGAAAACTGAAAACAATTATGATTGACGAAAACTTATCAGAACTCTCCAAGAAGCAATCTCATTTCTAATAAAAATTACATATAGTGGTTTTTAATTAAAACACTTAGAAAGCAAAAGTTCTTCTAGGAAAAGTGCTTCTTGTAGAAGCAATCCGAATGCATATCTCCTATCGATGGCTTGTTTGTCCAACACGATTAACGTGTAATCTACAGCTAAATCTTCCAGCCTTCTAGTAGCTTAAACAAGTTTCCAAATCATCTCCAAGCTTAACAAGTAGTTAGTTCGTTGAAACTTGCTCAACGAAGGGGATTAAAATCGACAATTAGTTTCTCTAACAATAGAATAGCTGCTTATAAATAGAGAGTTTCGATAACAGATTAACTGTAATCGGTTAATTTCGCTATAATTAGTGATCTTCGTCTCAAAGCTGAACAATGTAAATTCAATGAGAAATCCGCTGTGATTATTCTTTCTCCGGAGCTGCAATTCCTACGTAAAAAGGTCAAAATGCAGATGAAGATTGAGATAGTCTCTGAAGATCAATGTAAACCATCATCTCCGACACCAGACCACCTTAAGAGCTACAAACTCTCTCTGCTAGATCAGATAGCTCCTATCTTTTACGTGCCCGTTGTTCTATTCTACTCAGCTCCTGAAAACATTGACGATACCACCATTGTCGATAGGTTGAAGAAATCTTTATCCGAAACCTTGACCTGTTTCTACCCTTTGGCCGGAAGGATTGAGGGCAACGCATCTGTGGATTGTGAAGATGGACGAGTTGCCTTCACAAAAGCTAGAGCTCACGTTCAGCTCTCTGAGATACTAAAAAGTCCAGAAATGGATTTAGTGCAACAACTTCTTCCACTTGATCCCTACAATATTAGAACAGACAAGGCGGTTGCAGCCATGGCCGTCCAATTGAACTGTTTTGACTGCGGTGGCATGGGCATTGGGATCTGCCTTTCGCACAAGATTGCAGATGGTGCAACATTGTCTTCGTTCCTTGATGCTTGGGCAACAAGGTCACGCGGTATTTCAGAAAACATCACTCCCTCCCTAAATTCAGCCACCATGTTTCCACCTAGGGACAAAGAAATCTTCATGCCATCCAATTTGATCAAGAGAGAAAATATCGTGACAAAGAGGTTTGTCTTTGATGCATCCAGCTTAGCCAAGCTGAAAGTCAAAGCATCCAAGGGTTTGTGCACGGATGACCGTGCTCCTACTCGTGTGGAAGCTCTGACAGCCCTTATATGCAAGTCTAGCATGAATGCGAAGAATGGTACATTGGGTAAGGGCAGGCCATCAATGGCGATATCCCATGTGGTGAATTTAAGGGAACGAATGGCTCCACCTTTGCCAGAGCATTCTTTTGGTAATATCTGGCGGTTTGCTGTTGCATCCATAATGAACGATGAAAGCAACCCAGAGTTGCATGACTTGGTGGTTCGATTAAGAAAAGTAATAAGGAAGATCGATGATGGTTATGTGAGGAAACTGCAAGGTGAAGATGGGTTTACACATGCTTGTGAGCCTCTAAAAGAAACCAGTGAATTGGTCTCCGAAGGAGAGGTTGAGTTTTTCAGGTTCAGCAGTTGGATTAGGTTTTCCCTGTACAACACTGATTTTGGATGGGGAAAACCCACCTGGGCATGCATTCCTAGTGTGCCCATCAAGAATGTTGTCATACTGTTGAGTAGTAGCTCGGGTGACGGAATAGAGGCATGGGTGACCTTGGATGAGGAAGACATGGCTAAATTTGAACGTGATCACGAGCTTCTAGAATTTGTTTCTGTGGCACCAAGCTCTTAAGCCTATGTAGCTAGGTTCATGTCTTCCAGCCAGTCCTATGCTTTAAGTGGTTGATGTTCGTAGTTTACACATTTGTAAATTACCATCATTTGGTTAGGAACATGTAACCGAAAGTGCAAGTCCAGTAAATGCATATTAATGATGATGTAGGGCCTAAGAACATTCATCGCAAATAAAGCCAATCAGATATATCAATATATTAAAAAATGCACACGCAAATAGATCTTTCTGAGATCCACCAATAGATATTATACACATACAGAAACGCGACAAAGTAGTTCAGTGAGTACTTCAAACCAATTAAATCAACTCCAAGTGAATAAAATTACCTGTACTTTGCAGCTTCTTACATGTTAACCCTTATCGACTATACCACTATGTTCACCGTGCTGAATATGTAATGCAGCGTCAAACTCCTGTTTTGTTGTTTTGTGTAAATGGTATCTGTGAAAATCCCTGAATTCCATTGCTGTGCAATGTTTCTCGAACGTGGGGTGAAAATAGCCGAATATAGAGGGGCAAACAGGAAAGAGAATGGACAACTATCAATTAGTGTTCAACCTTCACAGCACACAGCCACGCAATCCCCCCAAACGATCCAAAAGCAGCAAAACAGAAACATGAGACCTTCTAACAGCATGAGTATATCCCTCCACCATTAGCTTGAAGATGTTTGGATTGAACCCAAACGGCGACCAACTGCTTCACTGCTAACAGCGTTTGAAGCAGCAACCTCTTCTAAGCGCTTCCAGGTGGCTTCATGTTTTGCTTGTATCTCCTCCTCTTTTGCTTCCTCTTCTTGAAATTTGAGCAAACAATCCTCAAATAGCTCAGGATCAACATCGGAGTAGATTTTACGGATATTTAATGTCAAGCTCCGGGCCACTTGGTTCCAGTGGTTGCGGCCATTCTTCTCCAGGGCAGGAAAGATAATGGGCAATATGACTTTACAGTTTTCTCTGATTAAGTTCTCAATGTGATCATTGTTCCACAAGTACAAAGCCCTCTCTGCCACCTGTAAAAGCACACATCAGTCAGCTCAATCAAGGTGAATGTGAGCAAACAATTCAGAAGAACTTGCCTGAAAGTTCAATACGGAAGGAAATACAATAATAACGATCAAAGGTATAAACAAGAGTAAAACCAAACCAAAAACGGACAATACTTATCAGAATCAATAAAAGGTGATGCGAAACTTTTGGAAGCGCAAGTGGAAGAGAGAGATGGGTTTCTCCAAACAGGCGTCAAATATTTGTAAGCACAAAGAAATAATAAATTAAATGAAGACACAGCTCAATAGTCAATACCTGAAAGTGTGAACTGCTCAAGCAACGAGATATTTGGCGGAAGAGTGGTACCATACATTTCTGAAATTCTGCTGGCTGAGTTGCTTCTAAAGTTTCCTCGAGCTCACTTAGGAACATGACTTCCTTTGAACTATTTGTGATTGGCCAGTACTTTAACAACCCTCTTATAACAGTATCTGCAAGCCTGCAATCTTTCTCGACAAACTGTGAAATGCAGTAGGACAACTGCTGATGGTACATTTGTAAGCATCTTGGCTTGTGAAGGGGGATCAGAGCCTGAACTAGGAAAAGTTTGTGTTCTTCTTTAAGTGGAAGAGCAAATCCATTGATTATACTGCCCAAAACCTCTAAAAGCTCAGCAATCCCATTGTGCCTTTCTGTTTCAAAAATAAATCGGAAAAATATATTGTTGATCGCCTTCCTAATGAATGGGCGATGCGCCATAAACTTTCCATAGACACGATGCAGAATTGTTTTTAAGTACTCCCTTTCCCTGGGATCCTCAGAATCAAAGAGATCCAATAATTTGAGAACAAAAGACTGATCAATGTACTTCTTAGCAACCTTTGCATCTGTCTCAGGTGATGCAACAAACCTCAGAAAAAGTTCATATACAATCTGTAAGTGTGACCATGCAGGGTCCATCAAAGGCTCCTCCTCCTCCAAATCAAATCCTTCTAAAGCCTTGTTCTCTCGGGGCTGTGGAGAGAACGACCTGAACAAATTCACACTCACCACCTTTACAACTTCTTGAACTATAATTTCAGTGAACTTTCCATTTGCAGAGGTAACATAATCTACAAGCTCTAGCAACGTCTGCCGCTTGATGTCTTTTTCTCTCAGATTTTTTGTCGGGTCGGTGAAGTCAAACACTACACAACATAAGTTCAGCTTTTTCACAAACAAGTTATGCTTCTCGGAGTTGGGTACATCTCTAAACGCTGGAAATGCTTCATACGAAGTTGTAACAGAATTCAGACTTGAGTTGACAAGTTGGGGGGACTTGCTTCCATGGCCATATCCTAAATTTGAAGCAGAATCAAGACCCAAAAGAGGGTACTCTATTCGAATTAAGTGGCCTATTCCCTACATCACCGCTTCTTGAACCTATGGAGGAAGCATTGAATGTAGGGGCAGATGAACCCCCGAGCTCACGATTCTCGGCTGACTTAGACGGCTTCCTAGGAAGCTTACCAAATAAGTTCTTGATCATGACTTCAGAAACAAATGATCTCAACCACAAATCCTGCCAAACCCTCAAAGCAGAACTGAACCGAAAATTCGATACCTCAAATGAAAGAATCAAACCAGATATACACAACCCATTTCACCAATGAGGTACAAAATCAGCAGTATAAGAAATCGAAAACCCAGATAGAGACAACCATTTATGAAGATTAAATTACTCCCACAAGTTCCCTTGTTTTCATGTATCATTCTCTTCTAGTAATTCTCCAATTTCTATATATATGTAACACCAAAGTAGAAGAATTTGACACCTTCTGAGGTCAAATTCAGTAACTCATGAGCAGAAACTGATTTAAGTCAAAGTCCAATAAGCAAGGCTCTTGTCTTTAATCTACTTCCAGGTAAGGACAGCTTGAAGAACATATATATATGTGTGTGTGTGTGTGTGTGTGTGTGTATTTTACCAAATCAGCAGCCAAACCGAGATAGCTCTGCGGCTGACACGATCTGGGTGCGATCTGAAACACAAAGATAGCATTCCACAGATATCATTAACAACAAAATAATCAAAGGGAAAGTGATGCATAAAAGAAACATCTATAAGGTGCGAGCAAAAAAGCAAAAGGGTAAGAAACTAAATTGTGAAAAGATGAAATTTTTCTACTTACAGAATCAGCAGGAGTCTTGAGTAAGAGCAAGAAAGCAAAGAACTTTTCCTCTACTAAATTCTGGGTCAGACGGGGGAGAGAGAGAGAGAGAGAGAGAAGGAAGAAGACAAGGTGATCAGAAGAACAGAACATCCAACAATTTCAGAGTCCTTACTAAATTCAACCTTTGATAGAGTTTTGAAAGAAAGTAAAAGGAAAAGTTGGGAAAAGAGAAAAGGTAAAGGAACCAACGCCCCTCTCTCTCTAGCAAAAGCTTTCTCTCTCTAACTTGGACTTGGAGGGAGGGAGAGAGAGTTCTTGAAAGAAAAGTCAGCCAACTCGCTGCCAACTCATCGAACCAGAATCTGAGTCTCGATGTTTTTTTTTTTCCTTTGTTGGGACGTTGCCTGGTTTTATTTTAAGAGCCCCAAAAAAAGAACAATATCTTCAGTGGAGTCTATATGATCTCGTCACTACCCACTCCTATTCCCATGATGAGTCTTTTGACCAAACGGACGCGCGGTAAGGCTGTCGAATTCCAACAGGATGCTCTCCGAATCATTTTTGGTGAGAATCTACAAATCTGTGAATTGTATCCGTCTATTGTATACTTAATAAAAATTGATAACACGATATACAATGAATGGACATGATTTAAGAATTTCTAGAATCTTCACAAAGAGAATCCGTAGGGATCCGGACTCGTCTGAATTGAAGAACTCCGGGAGAATAAGTGAGCCTATCACGTCTGTTTTGGTTGAAAAATTATGAGCATTCAATCGGTAAATCAAAGGTTTGAAAAGAAGAACATAACAAATTTAGTTTCATCTCTTCTCACCGCAGCTGCCCCACCCCCCCCCCCCCCCCACCCACTTGTTGCCGAAGTCGCATTATCTTGAAAATCTTCCATTTATGTGATTGTCAAAGTATTCTTGAAAATCTTCCATTTATGTGATTGTCAAAGTATTCATTATTAGGCCAACGATGGTTGGCTCGAGGCCAGTTTGAGATTATTGTATTTTTTATTAAATTGTTTATGTTGTGTTTTAAGAATAATCACTGTAAAATAAAACAATTAAGCGTTTTATAAATTATATTTTTAAAATTTTGTGAGTATGAAAAACAATGTTAAAACAAGGTCTAGAATGATAAGTAATATCATAGTTTAAAACTAATGAGCTTATTTAAGGAATTAAAAATATTCTAAGGGCTCAACTCTACTTTTTATTAAAGCAGCTTTTAAAATCAATCTACATGTTGCTTTTAAAAGTTGTTGTCTGATGGTCATTACCTTTTAAAATAAATAGTATATTTTATTTTTATCAAATATTTTTTTATTACTTAACTTTAAAATGAAGTACTGTTTCATGAAAAATGTATCGTCCACTAAGGTTGAGCCCATCACGTCAAATAGTAAAAAAGTTAATCATACATCGTACATTGTTGCACAGTAAAATTTTCCTGGTGCCAATCAAGCTCAAGACATAGTGATCTTTAATTGCATACAAAGCCAACAAGTTACGAAGAGACGGATTGATTGCCAATTTTCTTCGATATAATGAATACTCTCACCACCAATTTCAAGCATATCCACAACCTCAAGTTGGAAGGACTTACGTATAACACATAATAATCAGATACCATAGATATAGGTTTACGTAAAAATTTACAGATCGTGCACCAATGAGAACTGCTTTCAACGAGACTCAAACAACACAAGGCAATGATCTTACCTTAGGCTGAAAAAAAAAAAAAAAAAAAAAAAAAAAAAAACCTAATTTCCCGAACCCGATCCGAAATTTCCCAAACCCGACCCAAAAAAAAACCGAACCTGAAAATCCCGAAACTTCGGTAACCCGAACCAAAATAGTCCGAAACTTTCAGTATGGAATTTAGTTTTGATAGACCTTTAGTTCGGTAATCCCGAACCGAATAACTATATTAATATATAACATGTATTTAATTTAAATTAAAAATTATAAACTATCTGGACCGTTGGATTGGTTGAGATTTAATCTCAACCGTCCAATGTAAGTTATAGGGTTTCACACTCTCACTCTCTCACATTTCTCACCGAAGCCTCAACCCTCAACCCTCTCATCTCTCTCGAGTTCTCACTTCTTCGCCTCTGTTCTCTCATCTGCCTCTACATTTCTGAGGTCAGTGGCTACAACTACTGCCATAACAGTTGCCTCTTCACGTCCTGCCGCTGTTGCCCTTTCTTCCCTCTCTTCTTCCTCCTCCTTTGTATCTTTTCCATTCCCAAAACCCCAAAATAGCTCTTCTTTCATCTGCGTCGTCTCTGCTCAACCCAAATCCTCCCTTCCTCGCTACAAGCTTCGCCCACCTGCCATCATTTCAAGTCTTCATGATTAATTATGTGGTTTTTTTTAATGAGTTGCAGTCTTTTCTCATAATAATAATAATAATGCGTTGTAATATGATTCTTTATTTGATTTGAATTTTGTTTTGGGATCTGTTTGTTTGATCATTTTGAGCTTTTTACAGAATTTTTATTTTTAATTTTGTTTTGAATTGTAGAGTGATGGTGCAATTTGGCTTCGTATGAATTGGATTTGGGCATGAAGGATCAATCCCAATCCGTCTCGATATCCCGAAATTTTTTTGGTCATCCCGAAGTTCGGGAATCTCAGAAATTCGGTTCCGTTTCGGGATTTGAAATCCCATTCCGAAATATTTCGGTTTGGAAATCGAGATTGTGGTTTCGGTTCGTTATCCCATACCGAACCAGCCCTAATCTTACCAACTATGCCAACCCTCGTTGGCAGTATAATGAATACTAAACGGGTGGGGGCAGCTGTGGTGTAAAGAGATGAAACTCAATTTGTCATGTTCAAGCCCTTGATTTGCCGATTGAACACTCGTAATTTGTATCATGCAAATATCTAAGGGGTGGTAGAAGAATTGCATCGTCTGTATATATTATAAGCAAAAGAAGAGCTAGAAAATTAACTTAATAAAACAATCAATGAGGCAGAATGTTTTCTTGGGACTCTGGTCATCTGCCAGAACCATTTCCTAGCTACAACTACAACATACACAATGATCCTGCAATATTCAGTACCAGTGAGCAGTTAGCAAATACGAGCATTTCACCACCTGAACCACGGTACAATACTACGAATCCCGTTTTCGATTGATAGAAATTTGATGTCATTGTACTGTCAACAAGTGTCCTGCTTCGGCTAAAGTGAAGTAGTGCGCGGAGGTGCTTTGCCAAAAACAAGCACAGCTTCGTTGCTCGCAGATTTCTTTGCAGCAACTTCTTCCAAGCGTTTCCATGTGGCTTCACGTCGTGCCGTAACCTCGCCATCCTTTGACTCGTCTTCCTGGAACTGGAGTAAGCATTCCTTGAACAGCTCGGGATCAAGCTCATTGAAAATTTTTCGGACATTTAGGGTCAAGCTATGAACAGCCTGGTTCCAATGGTTTCTAGCATTTTTCTCCAATGCAGGTAAGATAATGGGCAGTATAACTTTACGATTCTGTCTGATTAAGTTCTCAATGTGATCGTTGTTCCACAAAAATAAAGCTCTCTCTGCCACCTGACAAAACAAGGATTGATTGCATAAGATTCAAGAACGACAGCTGCAATGGGAGAAAGCTATTTCCTCACAAAGAAAACATGACATCCAACACAAATAGGATTAATTGCAGACTAATGTCAAATTTCTATATAATTGGCTAGTATAAAACCTCCTGAGAAGATTCGATCAGAAATTCATTTCACATTATTCATCCACTGCAAAGAGAATTCATACGCATAACCTTAAGTTTACTTCAGCTCTATTTCGTGCTGAATACTTGGTTAAACATTTTCCAGATTCATAGAGTGCCTTCTTTTATTGATAAGTCACAACCTGTTTAAAACATAATCATATCCTCAAGCCGACCAACTAAACAAATGGATAGGATTTTATTTCAACATTTATACTTTATGGGATTGACAGTGACATTGCGGTTTTAAGTAAGAGCATCACGAAACTAATTTTAACGTTCTTGATGGACTCACAGAACAGAAAAACAGAACTCCAAAGAGACTCAAAATGCTATTTACACATGAGACTCTTCTTAAGCACCCAAATTTTGTTGACCAAAAAACAAGGAGCACCAAAATTTCCTGGGACATTATATAGATCCTCTCAACAGCCAACACTAATTGTTCTAAATCCTAAAACCATTTAGGGAAAATAAATCAACCAAGTATTGTAGGACAACTTCTTTGACCCATATGATCTATGAGACACTAGCTAACCCATCGACTATCGGTCATGAAGTTGGCTGAGCATGGAATTTTACTCATTATCTTATGTTAGCGCTTATTTCAACTTTTAAGGTGGAATACCAATATGCATCCTCACATTCAAACGCCAATTGCTAGAATTGAGAAAGTACTGAAGAGAACTCAACAAACATAAATCTTCCCGACAAAAGTCCTAAAATTAAAATGAAAATACAGGAAAGAGCAGGGCTAACAAGTAAAATCCAACTAGAAAGATGTAAGAGTTTTCCTTTGGCTGACAGAAAGGATCCAAGGTTTAGATGACTTAATTAGGACATCAGTGATTAACAAAGAAAAACATTGTCAAAAAAACCCTCACTTAAAAAACAACATACATGGAAAGACAAGTAAATATTGATCACTAACAATATGGGAACCTAAGACATAACTGCAGAACAATTTGAACTGCTGAGGTGTCTAAATTTACCAGCCAAAGATGGAAAGAGAAGAAAATTTACATGAGCAACACACTTATAATTATATGTACCACATTCAACATAGACAAGAAAGATAACGGTGCACAACTTGAGTATCATTCATGTGGCAGACCAAAAGCAAGTTAGAAAGAGAAAAAGTGCACCAAACAGCTTATAGGAAATACTGAAAGCAGAGAAAGAACCTGCTACCTGAAAGTGAGAACTGTTCAAACAATGAGCAATCTGGCGAAATAGGGGAACCATGCACCGCTGGAACTCAGATGGCTGAGTTGCTTCCAACACTTCTTCCAACTCACTTAGGAACAATACTTCCTTCGAACTATTAGTGATAGGCCAGTACTTCAGTAAACCCCTTACGACAGTATCAGCAAGCTTGCAATCTTTCTCTACAAATTGCATAATGCAGTAAGATAACTGCTGATGGTACATAGCTAAGCATTTTGGCTTATGCAGGGGAATTAGAGCCCGAACGAGGAACAATTTATGTTCTTCTTTCAGTGGTAGAGCAAACCCATTTATAATACTGCCCAAAATTTCTAGGAGTTCAGAAATCCCATTATGCTTCTCGGTCTCAAAGATGAAACGATAAAAGATGTTGTTAATAGCCTTCCTAATGAATGGGCGATGCACCATAAATTTTCCATAAACTCGGTGCAGTGTTGTTTTCAAATACTCTCTTTCTCTAGGATCTTCAGAGTCAAAAAGATCCAGCAACTTAAGTATGAACGAGTGATCAACATATCTTTTAGCTAATTTTGCATCTGTCTCAGGTGATGCGACAAACCTTAACAATAACTCATACACTACTTGCAAATGAGGCCACGAAGGATCCATTGAAGGCTCCTCCTCTTCCAAATCAAAGCCTTCTGCAACTTTATTCTCACGTGGCTGTGGGGTGAACGCCCTAAACAAATTTGCAGACACCATTTTTATGAGTTCTTGCATAAGATCTTCTGAAAATTTACTGTTTGGTTTAGTCACATAATCCACCAGCTCTAACAGTGTCTGCTGCTTGATCTCCTTTTCTTTCAGGTGCTTTGTTGGGTCCGTGAAGTCAAATGCAACACAGCACAAACTCAGCTTTTTAATGAATAAGCTCTGCTTCTCAGCGTTTGGAACGTCTCTAAATCCAGGCAATGCTTCATACGAAGAAGAGAATGCGAAGCCATTCGGCTTCATATTTGCACCCCTCGCATTCTTGTTGCTGTAACTTTTCACCACATCAACAACAACATTTCCGGATGGGAAAGATGTTGTCAAATTCCCAGACTTACTGGTCCCTGAATCATTGCTTCTTGAACTGGTGGGAGGATTCGAATACAATGTATGGGCTCCATCACGATTTTCAGCCTTCTTAGAAGACTTCCGGGGAAGCTTATTTAGTATCTGTCTCAACATAATTCATACAAAAAACAAAACTCCACCCTCTCAAAGCACAGCACCGGTATCTAAAGTTCCAAAAGCTTTTTGCAAAAACACTCCCGGGGCAACCAAGTCACACAGCTTTCGTAAATAATTATAATCTTAGGCTACCCAGAAGCTTATTAACTGCCTATATTTCTGAAAACAATGCAATAAAGGGGGCCAAGTACCCCCCCTTTTCATCCGAAAACTAAAAACCCACACGACAGATCACACCACGCCCTTATTTTCCCAAGCTCAATCACCCAACAAACAAAATCCCATTTAGCTTTCTGCCATTGTTAGGAAAAACAAAAACACCCCACAAAAACTCAAACTTTCTGCTTAAAATCGAAAACCCAGATGCCAAAAGCCACTCTAAACTCAAAAAATAAAGCACAAACTTTCCAGATTCAATTCACGAATCCCAACTCCCTGCCCTGTTCATCCAAATCAAAAGAGGAAAAACAAAAACAAAAACAAAATCAGAGTGTGCAATCACCACATTATTCACCTTCCCAGTGCTCCAAAAACAAATTGAAAAACTAGAAATTCAAAAAATAAATAAAGCAAAAGGCACATGCAACAAATACAGGAAACAGGAAGAATAAACAAAACCCAGATGAGAAGAATGAAGAATTTCGGGGTTGGTTGGGTGATACTCACGAGTTTACGAAAGAAGGGACTCGGCCTTCGTTACCATCCACCATTATTCTCGTTGTAGTTTGTTGACTGAACAAATCAAATATTTGTTGAGGTTTTCTTATTATTTTCCCTCTTGTGATTTGATTGATTCAGTCTCTATTCACCTTTGCCTCGCAAAACTTTTGGTCAATTTTCTCTCTCTCTCTCTCTCTTTGGTTTTTTCTTCGACTCCTTTCTGGACTTCTTCCCAGCAAACCCAATACAAACACCACACCAGCCCGTTATTTAAATTCAATCTCATCGGGTCTTTTTCCTTCCTTTTTTTCCTTTGTTTTGCTGAAATTAGGATATTACTATTTGTTTCCTATTTTCTTTTGGGTTCAAACTTCGAAGTAGTTTAACATCTGACCTCTTATTAATGATTAAACAAAAATACTATCAGATCAGTAGTATTAGTTGACATGTCTAACGTTATTTATTTACGTGTATGATATTTCTACTCATCTAGAATTAGAATCGTAATCATTTTAATTCTTGATTTCTTTGTCTTATCAAACATAAGTATTAAAATTATTCAAATATATTCTCATATGTTTACTAACACATACGAAATCTAAACACAGTATGAAATCAGAGCAAAGTCTAATAAGTAAAACCAAAATTAGTACTAAAATTATCCAAATATATTCTCATATGATTCCTTTTGCTTCCTAATTTCAGTGTGATTGGGTGAGGACATACCCTAGCTTTCCCAAGTACTACTTAATGACGAACAATATTTGCTACTAAACCACGTTTAGTAGTCAACGAATGGTTTAGATTGGATTACTCACTAATTCAGATACATTGAACAAAGAGAAGATAAATTAATCGTGACGGAAGCTTAACCCTCTCACTGACACCAAACGAGACCAATAACGAATAAAACATCACTTCCAAAATAAAAAAATGGACGTCACGTATGCGGTTTCTTAACCTGATCTTACTACAAAAATTTCTAAATCTTTAAGGGCAGGCCAACGGTTAAAATTTTCGAAGTAAGACTCTCCAAAACACCATAAAAATTTAATAATGAAAAAAAGAAAAAGTACCACGAATTAATTGTCACATAATTCATTTCAAGGGAGAAAAACAGCAGCCCGGGAGGAAATATTCAATCTTCAACTCAGCGTGCAACACCAAGTCAACAGTCAACGCGCAAGGTGACCTTCTGGATTAGTCAGATATGGCAAATTGTGATTAAATTCTCGAACTGCCCATAATTTCTTCATTTTAAATACTAAATACTAAAATTATTCATTATTTTGGATGCACTAGCATGCAAATTAATTTTCAGGTATGAACAGGAAGGGGCAGTCGCTTAAGCAACAAAGTCTTATATATTAAAGAAGGCTTTTTAGCTAAAATTATCTTGCATAACACATAACTTTGGTCGTTGAGATTTAAAATCAATAGAAATGATATCTGAGATTGTCCACCCTTCGTAATTTTGGTCATTCCATTAAAAAACTCCGTTAAGTAGTCCCTGAGCTTTTTAATGAAATGGTCAAAATGACGGATGGTGAACAATCTCAGGATCAAAGTTATGTGTTATGCAAATCTCAATGACCAAAATTATGTGTTTTGCAAATCTTAAGGACCAAAGTTATGTGTTATACCCTCAACTTAACGGAGTTTTTTAACGGAATGACCAAAATAATGCATAGTGGATAATCTTAGGGACCACTTTTATTGATTTTAAATCTAAGGGATATATGCTATACAAATCTCAGGGATCATTTTGACTAAAAAGCCTATTAAAAAAAGGATGCTAAGGAGACCAACTACTTAGACCAAATTTCATAAACCATATGAGGTGATTGTTAATGATTAAATTAGGATTGTTTTATTGGCACCTCACACATTGATGAATACACCCCACATAAAATTTTAATATCAAATACCTTATCTGCCTAATATGAAATTTACTTATATGCTCTAATTCTTATTTTTCTCACTACTTTGTTTTTGGGTTATTCTAATCATCCGTCTCTGCAAATTTGCCAATAATTTCATCCGGGTTTTGCTCAAATTGATTAAAAACCCCTCTTTTTTCTTAGGAAATTTTAGTGTTGAATATGTGGGGTCCAGTAAAAAATGGTGACGGTAAATCTGGGGTTTCTACATGCACCATGTATTGGACCATGTTAATGGAGTATTCATGCACACAAAAAAGACAAGCCCTCAACTTTTTCTCCCAGAAGCTGCTCGATACCCACTTGTAAAACAATATGGGAGAGCAAGACGGCTTATCTCAGAGTATGGGTTTTCAGGACGCCTTGAGATGAGCAGCTTCTTAGTGTATTGGACCATGTTAACGAAGTAAGAGTTGCATTTCTTGTTTCGAAATTGGCTTCTCCTAGAATATGCTCTAACATAATAGCAAATGGGGTGTGAGGGTAATTTGGGTAAGAAAATGAGATGTATTAAGATAATATTTAGTTCAAAAAATGTGAGGCTTTTTCAGTATGTGGGGTGTAATCAACGATTTAAGGTGTGCTAATAAAAAAAACCTTAAATTATTACTTAAATGTTGATTAACGTACTTATTTACTATTGGTGACAAATCACATGATTTACAAATGTGGTCTAAAAATTTGGTATACCTAACGTTTAGACAAATACTTACAAGAGCGATAGTTGCTAGCTTTTCTGGAGAGACCAAAATTGCGATGCTAATTTAAAGCAACCTACAAACGCTACGAAGATGACCGATAAAACTCATTTTGAGCACAAACGGAATACCGAATATTGTTATCGGAGAATCGGGTAGGCAACTTCTGTCTGCATCACAATTGGCATTGTGATCTGCTGTTGACAAAAGCTTGAATTGATGGTTCTCTCCCAAGAAAGCCAGTTAACATTTCAATGGGTTCCTTGCTCCTCCTGGGGCCAATATCTACAACGACGATAACAATAAAATTAAATGACGGATTTACAGAACGCGATTAGACTATACCAGTCTTAATTAAACCAGTATTCATTAAAAGATTTTGAGGGAGACGAACAAGGATGCCAATGCTCCATACAAATTCAAACGAAAATGGATGGGAAATAGAAGCAAAAGTTGGCAAAACTCCTCTCCATCGAACATATTCTTTACCTTGTTTCTGAACTGCATGCCAACATACTGGTTCAGATAACTCTCATGGAACTTTGAAGCAAATATATCAGCCGCAAAAACCTACACGAAACATTGGAGACATCAGCGCTGGTTGTTGCAGAATCACGGATGATAAGAATGACATTCTTCAAACGTAATCATTGGATTGGGCAATACAACCACAATTGATAATGGTTATAGCAAACTTGGGAAACGAAGTAACAAGGATATGTTGCTTGACTATTTTCGATAATGGATGGGTGACAAACCTCACTCCAAATACGGCTGTAACAAGCAGCTTCGTGACCAATGGCACTAGATGGAAAACATGACGCAGGATTGACATCTTCCAACATTGGCAAACCTAACATGATCTGATGAAATAGGGTCAATAATAATACCCCAAACTGCAACTTTGCATAGAAATTACTGGAAACAACTACATACCCTTGGATGAAGATGCTTGAATAACTCAGCCATGTCAATGTTTTCAGTAGAATGTATAATCTGATCAAAAAGACCTGAAAATGTAGTGGGTTTCAAGATATGTGCATGAAAAGTTGAAATAGCTGCCTCGACAATAACAATTCAATGTTTGAGTGATCTTTTTCCTTTCACAAACTATTCAAAAAATCCAAATCAATACCAAACCAATGAAAAAGCAAAAGGACAACAAATACTTTCCAAGGACAAAAACTGTAACAGCAATTTTCCTATGAAACAAACACAGCCTGAAAAACGATTCTTCGAGTAATTTATGAAGTGCAGTTTCTATAGTAAGAGGACTTACAATAGAGAATTTCTTGCTTCATTTTAAGCGCAGAAAAGGAATATCTCCATCTTTTAATGGATTTACACATTTCATCTTTGATAGGCTTTGTTATATCCTACATGTAAATTCAAGATATGTCAGCAATTTAACTCATTCAATATAGCTGAAAAAAAAAAACATGAGAAGTTCCCTTGGGGAGAGGGGAATGCACATTGATTTCTAAAGCATTTACTACAATTTAAAACAACAACAACAACAATAATAATAATAATAGAGCATGAGTTACCTGATGGAAACCAGATATCAACTTCAAAGTGAAGCTTTCGTAACACCTGAAATTTACACAGTTAAGAAGCAATAAGTTGAGCCATGCATAATCATAAAAGGGAACAATATGATTCATTAATTACCAGTTCTCCAGCACCAGAGCAGGAACCTCTACAAAATCTGGATCAAAACCCAGCCCAGAAAATCTGGCAAATGATGCGCGATTGCATATATGTTGCACCTGAAGGTTTATAATTCACAGAAGAACCTGTTATTTATGGGCAACCCATAATGAAGTGCCAAATCCAGAAAAATGATGTTCCAGGCTGAATCTGTTTCTACAATCAAATTAACTATAGCAGGGGTTCATTCCAATTATTTAAACATCTTTCCAAGATTCGTTATTTCAAACTTAATGGATATTCATTCATTAGTTAATGTCTTTAAAAGAACTTAAAGAGGTTCCGATATGCCATCATTGAGACAACATCAATTGAGCTTGTTAGTTCTCAAAACATCTAGGGGACTCGATAACTTATTCAACTTCTCATTTGACTAATAGATCTTCACAAATATGCAGGTTGCATGTTAGTGGCTGTTAATCCCATGCACCTTTTGCAGAACAAGTGGAAGCATATGCACTTCTTTTAATTCTTGCTAGCCAATTAAAGGACACCAACCAGGCTTAAGTTAGGGTGGATCCTTGGAAGTGAGTGGACTTTACCACAGGTATTTCTCATAATGGCAAAGCATTTGCACTCAAAGTTCCTGTTTTAGCGCATTCCTACTCGTGGAGCAACATTGTGGAACACACTGCCAAAGGCCTTAATCTCTGCATCATACAGCATAAACTAGACGTTGAGGAATTCCTCTGTCAGTATTGTGCTTCTTACTATTCACACGTAGCCTTTCCTATGTCATCAAGCCTAAACATGTGCAGTTCCTGACCTATGTAATGTCCTCTGAAGGCTGTTAAAGACTTACTAGCCACTTTTGAGTTAGTAAAGATGGGAACAGTAAAGGATGAAGGTAAGGGAACGAGGGTGCAACATTTTGAATTGCAAAGATTTATGCTTT